TTGTGAAATGGCTGAACAAGTGATAGTGTATGATTGTAATGGAATATTATTGTGTTATAAGAAATGATGAACAGGATGATTTCAATTTTCCCAGATCTTCTCCAAAATTTATCATTTTCCTGTTTTCTCATGTTGGCCAATCTGATAGATGTGATGCAGCACCTCAGAGTTGTTTTGACTTGTATTTCTCTAATCGATAGTGATTTAGAGCAATTTTTATATGACTATAGATAGCTTTAATTTCTTCTTCTGAAAATTGCCTGTTCATATCCTTTGACCATCTATCAATTGGGGAATGACTTGTATTCTTTTTTTTTCTTTTTTGCTTTTTGGTGAAGCAGTCAGGGATAAGTGACTTTCCCAGGTCACACAGCTAGTGTCAAGTGTTTGAACTCAGGTCCTCCTGAGTCCAAGACTGGAGCTCTGTCCACTGTGCTACCTATCTGCCCCGACTTGTATTCTTATAAATTTGACTTAGTTCTCTATATATTTTAGAAATGACATTTAGAAATGTCTCAGAGACACTGGTTGCAAAAATTCTTTCCCAGTTTTCTACTTCCCTCCTAATCTTGATTGTATTGGCTTTGTATGTGCAAAAATTTTTCAATTTAATGTAATCAAAATTATTCCTTTTATATTTCGTAATGTTCTCTATCTCCTGTTTGGTCATAAATTCTTCTGTTCTCCATAAATCTGACAGGTAAACTATTTCTTGCTCTCCCAGTTTGCTTATAGTATCAGCCTTTGTATCTAAATAATGAACTCATTTTGACTTTATTTTGGTATATGGTGTGAGAGGTTGGTCTATGCCTAGTTTTTGCCATACTCTTTTCCAGTTTTCCCAGCAGTTTTTGTTAAATAGTGAGTTCTTATCTCAGAAGCTAGGGTCTTTGGGTGTATCAAATAGTAGATTGCTATAGTCATTGACTGTTGTCAATGTTGTACCCAACCTATTCCACTGATCCATTGCTCTATTTCTTAGCCAGTATCAAGCAGTTTTGATGATTGCTTTTTTATAATACAATTTAAGGTCTGGAATGGCTAGGCCACCTTCCCCAGCATTTCTTTTCATTAGTCCCCTTGATATTCTGGACCTTTTGTTCTTCCAAATGAACCTTGTTATTATTTTTTGTAGCTCTGTAAAATAATTTTTGGTAGTTTGATTGGTATGGCACTGAATAAGCAAATTAGCTTAGGTAGAATTGTCATTTTTATTATATTAGCTTGGCCTCCCCATGAGCAACTGATGTTTTTCCAATTATTTATCCCCTCTGTGTATGTATATCCCTTCTAAATGTTGTAATAAAGATATAGTTCTCAAGAGTTATAAGCATCATCTTCCCATGTAGGGATGTAAACAGTTTACCCTTATTGAATAACATGGTTTTGTTTTTTTTTTCCCTTTCCTGTTTACCTTTTTATGCCTCTTTCAACTTTATTTGTGTGAAAAGTGGTTTGTAATTATGTTCATATATAGTTCCTGGGTTTGTTTTGGTAGGTAGACTCCTAAATATTTTATAATGTCTAGTAACTTTAAATGGAATTTCTCTTTCTATCTCTTGCTGTTGGGCTTTCTTGGTAATATATAGAAATGCCAATGATTTAAGTGGGTTTAATGGCAACTTTGCTAAAGTTGTTTATTATTTCAAGTAGTTTTTTACTTGATTCTCTAGTATTCTCTAAGTATATCATCATATCATATGCAAAGAGTGATAGCTTTGTTTCTTCTTTGCCTATTCTAATACCTTCAATTTCTTTTTCTTCTCTTAATGCCAAAGCTAATGTTTCCATTACCATATTGAACAACAGTGGTGATAATGGTCAGCCTTGTTTCACCCCCAATCTTAATGGAAATGCTTCTAGCTTGTCCCCATTACATATTATACTTGCTGAAGGTGTTAGGTAGATAGTACGTATACTTTTAGGGAAGATTCCATTTATTCCTATGCTCTCTATTGTTTTTTAATAGGAATGGGTGTTGTATTTTGTCAAAAACTTTTTCTGCATGTATTGAGATGATCATGTGGTTTCTGTTAGTCTTGCTGTTGATGTAATCAGTTATGCTGATTATTTTCCTAATATTGAACCAGCCATGCATTCCTGGTATAAATCCTACCTGGTCATAGTGTGTTATCCTTGACATAAGTTGTTGTAATCTCTTTGCTAATATTTTATTTAAAATTTTTGTATCTATGTTAATTAGGGAAATTGGTCTATAATTTCCTTTCTCTGTTTTGACTCTTACTGGTTTAGATATCAGCACCATATTTGTATCATAAAAAGAATTCGGCAGGATTCCTTCTTTGCCTATTTACCCAAATAGTTCATATAGTATTGGAATTAGTTGTCCTTTAAATGTGTGATAGAATTCGCTTGTAAATCAATCTGGCCCTGGAGATTTTTCCTAGGGAGTTCATTGATGGCTTCTTTAATTTCTTTTTCTGAGATGGGGTTATTTAAGTGTTTTATTTCCTCTTCTGTTAATCTGGGCAATTTATATTTTTGTAAATGTCCATCCATTTTACTAAGATTGTCAAATTTGTTCACATACAGTTGAGCAAAATAGTTCATAATTATTGTTTTGATTTCCTTTTCATTGGTGGTGAATTTATCCTTTTCATTATTTATACTGGTGATTTGGTTTCCTTCTTTCTTTTTTTAAATTAAATTAACCCAAGGTATACCTATTTTATTGTTTTTTTTTTCATAAAACCAGACCTTAGTTTTAGTTATTAGTTTAATGGTTTTCTTAATTTTAATTTTATTAATCTCTCCTTTGGTTTTCAGTATTTCTAACTTGGTATTTAATTGGGGGTTTTCAATTTGTTCTTTTTTTTAGCTTTTTTAGTTGTACGCCCAATTCATTGATCTCTTCTTTCTCTATTTTATTCATGTAAGCATTTAGAGATATAAAACTTCCCCTAAGGACTGCTTTTGCTGCATCCCATAAGTTTTGGTATATTGTCACAATATTTTCATTCTCTTGAATGAAGTTATTCATTGTTTCTATGATTTGTTTCACCCACTCATTCTTTAAGATTAGATTATTTAGTTTCCAATTAATTTTTAGTCTACCTTTCCATGGTCCTTTATTATATGTAATTTATATTGCATCATGATCTGAAAAGGATGCATTTAATATTTCTGCCTTTCTTCATTGGATTGTGAGGTTTTTATGCTGTAGTACATGGTCAGTTTTTGTGTAGGTGCTATGTACCACTGAGAAAAAGGTATATTCCCTTCTGTCCCCATTTAGTTTTCTCCAGAGGTCAACCACATATAACTTTTCCAAGATTCTATTCATCTTCTTAATGTCTTTCTTGTTTATTTGGTGTTTAGATTTATCTAGTTCTGAGAGGGGGAGGTTGAGGTCCCCCACTAGTATAGTTTTGCTGTCTGTTTCTTCTTGTAGCTCCCTGAACTTCTCTAAGAATTTAGGTGTCATACCATTTGGTGCATATATATTTAGTAATGATATTATTTCATTGTCTATGGTGCCTTTTAACAGGACATAGTTTCCTTCCTTATCTCTTTTGATAAGATCTATTTTTGCTTTTGCTTTGTCTGAGATCAGGATTGCTACCCCGGCTTCTTTTACTTCAGCTGAAGCATAATACATTTTACTCCAGCCTTTTACCTTTACCCTGTGTGTGTCCCTCTGTTTCAAATGTGTTTCCTGTAAACAACATATTGTAGGATTATGATTTTTAATCCATTCTGCTATCTGCTTCCATTTTATAGGAGAGTTCATCTCATTCACATTCACAGTTATGATTACTATCTATGTCTTTCTCTCCATCCTATTTCCCCTCTGTTTATGCTTTTTCTTTCACCTTTTCTCTTTCCCTCCTGGCTAGCCTTTTGCTTTTGACCACTGCCTCCCTCATTCTGCCCTCCCTTCTGTTAGCTCCCCCCTTTTCTTCCCTTTTACCCTTTCTAGTTCTTTCCTCCCTTCTATCCCCCCTTCCTTTTCTTTCCTCTTTCCCCTCCTACTGCCTATATGGAAAGTTAGATTTCTATACCTGAGTATGTTATTGCCTCCTTGAGCCAAATCTGATGAGAGTAAAGTTCAAACAATGCTCATATCCCTCCCTTTTTTCCCTTTACTGTAATATGTTTTTGTGCCTCTTCATGTGATGTAATTTACCCTTTTCTACTTCATCCTTTCCTCTTATCCCATTACCTTTCCTTTTCACCACTTCATTGTTCAGCTCTGGTCTTTTTATCAGGAAAGCTTGAAAGTCCTCTGTTTCACTGAATATCCATTTTTTCCCTGAGGGATTATGCTCATTTTCACTATGTAGGTGATCCTTGGTTATAATCCCAGCTTCTTTGCCTTCCAGAATATCATATTCCATACCCCCAGATCCTTTAATACAGAACCTATCAAATCCTGTGTCATCCTGACTGTGGCTCCCTAATATTTGAATTGTTTCCTTCTGGCTGCCTGCAATATTTTTTCCTTGACCTGATAGTTCTGGAATTTGGCTAAAATGTTCCTGGGAGTTTTCAGTTTGGGATCTCTTTCAACAGATGATTGGTGGATTCTTAATATTAATTCATATGTAATATAATGATTAATTCAAGCTGCAAATCACCAGCCTCTTCTGCTTGGCTAGAAAATTTTCCCAGCAGGCTCTATCTACTGCATTTTCTGGTGCATTTCATCATTCAGAGTTTCAGGGAGGCATTCTCAATTTGGTGGCACTCCATCTAGCTGCCTTGTAATTTTAGGACCAAAGTTGAACCATCACCAAACAAATGGCATTTGAGACATATTGGAATCATCAACAGGCAGAGACAGGATGTGAGGTATTATGTTATGCAAGACAGGTATATGATAATTATTCACATGGACCCCCTCTCCCCATTCATACTTCTAGAAAGATCCTTAGCTTTACCAGTCAGGGAGTTCACACCACACATATGAACAAATAAATGGAAAATGTAGTCTAAGTAAGAAAGAAAGTGATTATCTAATTTTATTTCTAAATTCTCAGATTCCAGAAATGCTCCCTTTGCCTGCTATGAAGAAATCAATAGTCAGCGAGATAGGTTTGGGAACTGTGGCCGGTATTCAGAAAATAGTTTTCACTACTGTGATTGGAGGTATATTTTGTTTTTTTGTTTTTTAGTGAGGCAATTGGGGTTAAGTGACTTGCCCAGTGTCACACAACTAGTAAGTGTTATGTGTCTGAGGCCAGATTTGAACTCAGGTCCTCTTGACTCCAGGGCCGGTGCTGTATCCACTGTGCCACCTATCTGCCCCTGGAGGTATGTTTTGGAAATATTTACTTTGATAAATAGAAGAATCAGTGATTTCTTCAGTGGGAATCGTGTCTTTACAACAGCCCGAGAACGCATAGCCCAAGATTTTGGGAAGTATGTTGTGCAGTTACTGTTCTTATGATATCATCTCAGTAAATGTCTTTGTTTTGAACAAACTTTGTTTTGTGTCTACTGGGTGGCTGACTATTAAAGATAAGTACAGTCGTGGAAGCTTGTGACCTATAGATTTGGAAAGGTGAACCCACAGGTTCTTCTTCCTTAGGTCCTTCCTTCTTCCTCTTTGCAGAGGTCACACTCCTTAGAATTGTGTATTTCCTAAACTGAATGTTATCCACCCTCTAATTCTATCAAGGTTGACTGAAGACTAACAAAGCAACCCTCTAGTTTTGTCAGGCTTGATTGATTAATGTTTTTACATCTTTACAATTCAATTAATATTCTATTGTCTCTGTTGCTTGACCCCTTCACATTGTTTGACTTCATGAAATGGTGTCATTGTGAATCAGATGATCAAGGTTCTCTCACTATGTGTTTAACAATTTTTTTTTTATATTTGTAGGAGTCTCCTCTGTGGAAAGTTAATTTGTACATACCCATATCGAAAACCGTATGTTCGAGAAAATATTGCTGTGATATATAGTTTTGTGCTAGACACTGTATGTATAAGTTTAGATCACAAGTTTAAACCAAATACTCGAGATCCGATGTTGGTAGCAAATGGAAATCCATGTGATGTTAGAAAGGTAAATGATTAACATCTTTTTAAGAAAATATTACATATTTATTTCCTATTAAAACATAAAAGTTCACATTTCTTTTTTTCAGTACAAAATATGAGGAAAATACAAGCAGATCATTCTCCAATGAATACCCAGAAATCCTGCCACCAATCTCACTTGGCCACAGTGACTTTGTTTCTTCTGTAGCCTATTATGTTGAAGAGTAGCTTTCTCTGAACCACAGATTAAACTTTAGAACTGCATTATACCTTAAGTGTCCCTAGAATGATTCCAGGTGCATTTCCATTTTGAAAGTCATTTATTCAGGACAACACTGATATGATCTATATTTATAAGAATTTGCACATGTAAATATAAATTACAGTTTAAATCATAGCAGTCCAGATCTTGTAAAAATGAAATATAATTCTGCCTGTGATGTTCGGAGGCTAAAGGGTTTAAAACTCATTTATTAAACTAAACTTCTGATCACAACATTGTTGAGAACCAAGATAACCTAAAGCTGCTGTGGACTTAGGGAACACAGGCCATGACTCCCAGATACTACATTTAGGTACTGAGTTTTTACAAAAAGCTCAGCAAATCTAGCTTTTGGCATGCTGTTGTTGAGTTGGAAAATATGGTTCTTTAAGCAAGGAACCTTTTATTTGATATTGAAAGCTATATTTTCTAAAAAAACAAATGAAAGCAAATTTAACCAATAATTATAATGGTTAATAAAAATAGTAAAATCTACTTGGAAATTTTATCTGTACTCTTATTTCAAAGATATCAAATAAAGAATACTTTATATTTTGTAATACTTTCTGATTTTTAAAGCACCTCCTTTTAATCCTCATCAAGTCTCTGTGAGGCATTATTATTAGGTAGGTATTATTATCCCATTTTTTACCAAAAAGAGATGGGGGAAGAGGAGGGGAAGGGAATAAGCATTTACATAATGCCTCCTATGTATCTGGCACTGATCTAAGCACTTACCTCATTTGATTCTCACAACAGCTCTGCGAGGTAGGTGCTATTATTCTCCCCATTTTACAGTTGGGAAAACTGGAGCAAACAGAGATTAAGTGACTTGCCCAGAGGCATATAATAAGTGTCTGAGGCCAGATTTGAACTCAAGTCTTTCTTCTTGATTCCAGGCTTATTGCTTTATCCACTGTCTTGATAGGTATAGAATTGGGATGGGCATGGGAATAAGAAGTTAAGTGTCAGAGAGATAAATTATCTTGTCAACAGTCACATAGTTAATAAAATGGCAGTGCCAATACTAGAATTCAGGTCCTCTGATGATAAATAGTTTAGTCCTCTTTTCATGTTATCATTACACAGACTATCTAAATTAATGTTCAGTGTTATAACAGAGATTCTCATGTCTTGAAATCTCTAACTTCATTAAATAGACATAGGGACCACATTAATGTCAAAAATAACATATATTTATATGTATACTTGATACTGTCTCTGCAATAATTAAGTGGTCATGTCCATATAAATTTCTATTTCATCCCAAATTCTGATAATTCTTTATTTATTGATTTGTGTTGTACAAAAGTTGAATATAAAGTTAAGATGACTTGGCACATCTGATATAGACTTTTTTTTTAGTTTTGTTTACATGCTAACTGTGTATTTATGAATAAAATCATAAATGAAGCAAGAAGTTGTTCAGAAAAGACATGCAATCAGCATGGAGTAAGTAACACCGTTTTATTCAATAGCGTCATTTGGTGTACTATAATTGGTGATTTAGGTATTTCCTTTAATCACCATCATTTTAAATACAAATATCATTTTAGAATTTACAGTGGCATCATAAAACAACTAAAGCTAGTTTAGGGGGAAAGTTTTCAGATAATTATCTAATCTACGACTATAAAAGTACAGTTCAGTGATTTCTAAGTGGCACAGAATCTGCTGGCATATACATGAACTTGCTAACATAGTCTAGGATGCTCTATGCCATAGCTCCTATGCCTTTGGATACAGGCAGAAGTGTCCTGGAGCCAGTTTGAACCACTTCTTGAGAACCTATTGTTAAATTTTCAGTATGAGCATTTATACCTCAGAAATTGGCAAATGCTACAAATTAAGGCTAGATTTGTAGCTGATTTCTAGATTTTAAAAGGTAATGGAGAAAATGTTAACAATGCAGATTAAATTAAAAGTGTTTCATGCTTATTTTGGGGGGTGGGGAGGGCTGGTTGTTAAACATTTACCAGCATGGTTCTTGGATACAAGCCAATGACAATGACTTTCCAGTTGCCTGTTCCCTCAATTCCCTACTCCAGGGAGGCTGGGAAGATAGGAGGGACTCAGCAGGTAGAGTGACAGTCAGTTTCATCTGTCTTGTCATCAGTTTATTTCCATCAAGCTGTAGAATTAGCCACAGGGTTGGAAATGATAGCCTATGTTCGATGAGGGTTCTCTATTCCATTCCTGTATCTACACCACCAAAGAAGCTGCTCTTTTGTTATGGTTAAAAAGAACACGATTCTAATTTTTTTCCTTCTGGAGAGCCGTTGCATCCACAATGAGGGATACAGTTTTAGTGAAGCTGATATTTCAGTCTTCTTCATCCTGAAATAGCTAAACCTCCTTTCCTTTGCCCCTGAGTGTGTGTTTCCTTTTAAGCTAGTGCCTTGGTTCTGGTCCCAGAGGAGATAGATTTGGTCCTTTGTTATCCCCTTTAGAATGGAATTCCTTTGCAGGTCTCTGCTTGTTGAGTATACTGTATTTGTGTGGGGCTGAAGAGAGTTAAAAGTGGGTCTGTTGAGGTTTAGAGGTTTAAGCATGCTGGGACCCCAAAATCACGATGTGTGGGTCCTGCCCCAATGAATTTGAACCAAACCTTCTTTCAGCCAAAGACAATGTTTATTAGATAATGGATCAGGGGTGGGTGAGATTTAAAGAATCTGCCATATTGTCCAGACTCTTAAGGAATCTAAGCATTTATATAGCTAATGAAAGCAGGCCAGATCTTAAGAATCTAAACCCTGGATAGATTATAAGAATCTGAGCTCCTTAATGGAGGCCAGATGGATTTTATATACAGAAAGACTGTAGGAGTGATGTAGAAGTGGCCAAGTGGTCTGAGGTGAATGCCAGGGACCTAGACCCTGTGGCCAAGGAAGAATGGAGCCTAGATAGGATTAAGGATGGGAAGTGGTGGGGGGGCAGGGGGGGTGGCATACAGAAGTAAGACAATGCAGGGCTAGGCTAGGTTAAAGGTAACCTGGAATTGGGAGATTGGGTTTAGGTGATAATGAAAGGCCAGTTGATAGGATTATAGCCTCAGGCAAATGCCAGAGATTTGGCCATGTGGGAAAGTCCGAGGCTTTTCCTTTTTTGGGGTCCAGATCCCAAAGACGTGGTCTTTTCCTTTTAGGAATTCAGATTCCCATCCCCACCAGATCCTATGCTGTCAATTTACTAAGAGTTTATAGGATCATAGATCCCAGATTTTTTATTTGAAGGGAATTTAGAGATATTGTAGAAAGAAAACTCTCTGCAAAGTAGGAGCAGCACTTTTCTTAACAGGGTTGTTTTACCTTTGAAGGGCTGGGGAGATCAGTCTCAAGATCATCATTGCTTTGATTTCCTTGCTGACTGAGGTGTAAAAGGCACACTCCAAGGTTTAGCAGAATTCCATTGGCCTGTTGCACTCCTTAGAGTTGTCGACTGCCTCCAATTCTATCAAATTTGATTAAAGACTTCTTTAAACTTTATAAAAGGATAACAGATTTTCTGATCTAATAATGTTTGTTGCCATTGTGACTATAAAGAGGGAAGTAATATTTTATTTGAAATACTATACTTTTTAAACTTTATGAATTTTATCTTTTTTAACCTCATGTCTAAATAAAGTCGTTTTTATTACATTTTTTGGTTCAAGAGTAGTATTTCATTGAATTCTAAACCTGAGCCCAGATTCTGGGTTGGACTGAGCTAGGCCTGGCTCAGAACATACTGTTGAAATTTTAGAATGCAAATCAGTAAAAGGCTTTATTTCATTCATTTTCAAGCCATAGCATTTGTTGGTCCATAGAAAAAGGATGTCTCTATAGAACAAGTGAGTTTCTCAATTCAAGCCATTTCCTATAGGTTCTTATTGTATATAGAAAATACATAAGCATTTTGGGTTCACAACCCAGTCACTGGCCTTGAAGGCAGTTTGCTGTGTTTCCAGGGAGGGAAAAGAGACTGGGTAATCTGTTCTTCAGTCATTGACCACAAGATATCAATTGTTGTAAGAAGATTGAGTTTGAGGAGAACCAAAACAGATGAATCAGACACTTGACTTCTCATTTACACTGAAATGGAGGCTTATTCTAAAATGATATTACTCAAGTCAAGAAAGGGTGTTTATAAGGTCCTCTCATTGCTATCACAGAAATCATTGACATATATAATTGGAAAACTGGACTGAGAGAGATTATGTATTGTACAAGGGTGTACATATATTAAGTAGCAAAGTTAAGATTAAAATCCAACTCCCCTGACTTAAAATTGAGTAGACTTCAATAACTGCCAACCATTTCCCTACTTATTCATTCAACAAATAGTAAGTACTCATTATGTACTATCTACTGTTACAGGCACTGGAAATAAAAAGGCAAAAGTGAAACGGTCCTTACCCTCAAGGAATTTCCTTTCTATTGAAGGGAACAACATATATGCGTATAAGTACAAGACATAAACAAATTAAACACAAAGTAATTGAGGGGAGGGGTGGTACCAGACCTGAGAGATCAGGAGAGGTCTCCTGTAAGAGGTGGCACTTGAATTTTCCTTGGAAGGAAGGTAAAGATTCTGAGAGTTGGAGCTGAGTATGTGGTAGATTCCCCATTAGATAAAGCATCAAAGGCTGTGCATAAGCAGTTCTTAAAGGAAGAAATTGGAATTAAACTACCAATAGCTATATGAAAAAAATGCATAACTAATAATCGAAGAAATGCAAATTAAAACAACTCTTAAGTTTCTACCTTATGCCCATCAGATGGGAAAGAGGACAAAAAAGGAAAATGATAATCATAGGGGCAGTGAGAAAACAGATACACTAGTGCATTTTGGGTGAAAATATGAATTGGTCTAACCATTCTGGAAAGCAGTTTGGAACTGTGCCTAAAATGTCACTAAATTGTGAATGACCCAGGGATACTACTACTAAATCTATATTCCAAAAAGACCAAAGACAAAGGGAAAAGACCCATTTGTGCAAAAATATTTATCACAGCATTTTTTTTTTGTTGGAACAAAGAACCAGAAACAAAGTAGGTGCATATCACTGGAGGGAATACTGAACAAATTATGGTATTTAAATGTAATGTAATATTATTGTGCTGTAAGAAATGATGAAAAGGATGGATTAAGAGAAACCTGGTAAGACTTATATGAAACAATGCAAAATAAAGTGAGCAGATCTGGGAGAACAGTTTGCACAAAAATAATAAACTACACAATTGTATAGCAAAAAAACTTTGAAAGCCTTAAGAACTCTGATCAATGCCAATGACCAAGCATGAGTCCAGAGAACTGATCATTGGCACATGTGACCTGGCTCCTGAGAGAGAGAATAGACTCAAAACACACTTTTCATACATTGCCAATATATAGATTTGTTTTGCTTAATTATGCTTGTTTCAAAGTTTTTTTGATTTTTTTTTTTAAATTGGGGGAAAGGTTCTGGAGGGTGGGAGGACAATGGCTAGTTATGCCAAAAAATAAGAAAAGATCAAGGGAAAAAAAAGTCATTGCAGGATTTACAAAAAATGGACAGAAGAAAAAAGAAGATTCAAAGGGAGACACAAACAAGGAGGACAACTTTGAAACTTTGAAACATGTTGAATTTATTGTGTAGTTTGAAAAGAAATGCAAGCTACAAATCAATGATGATTTGTAATTTCATATGCAATTATTTTTTTCCATTCTTCTTTGCATATGGAAATGCTCATGTTGATGTTTGTCAAGTTCAGAATAACAAAAGAAGAATTATATATGTATTTTAAACACATGCATGGATATGTATTATATATGTATATGTGTGTGTGTAAATGCAAATTTAGTGTCTACTAGGCATGAGCTACAGCCTATGCAGAGGTCCAGAGGTGGGAGTTGTTATATTCAAGGAACAGAGAGTTGATCTATAGTAAGTATGAAAAGGTCAGTTGGAGCCAGATTAAGAAGGACTTTAAATGTCAAAGAGTAGAGTTTTTGTTTTACTCTACAGGCAATAAGGAGCCACTGGAGCTTTTTGAGCAGGGGAAAAATGTGGTCAAACTCTTTTTATAAATGCTATAAAAGAGCAAAGGAAAGATAAATTATTTTTATTTATTTTTAAATTATGAAATAAAACAAGAATTTCCATAACAAAATATAATAACAAAGATAATTGCACGTGAAACTACAAATCTATTATGTTCAATTTGCTATTCCCTTTTTTGTTTTTTTTTATAAAATAATTATTTATTTTTAGTTTTCGACATTCACTTCCATAAGATTTTGAGTTTTAAATTTTCTTCCCCTCTTTTTTCCCCTCCCCAAGATGGTGTGCAATCTGATATAGGCTGTACGTATACATTCATATTAAACATATTTTCACATTAGTCATGATGTAAAGGAGAATTAGAACTAATGGGAGGAATCACAAGAAAGAAGAAACAAAACAAAGCAACAGAAGAAAAGGAGAGCAAATAGTATGCTTCCATCTGCATTCAGACTCCAAAGTTGTTTCTCTGGATGTGGATAGCATTTTCCATCGTGAGTCTCTGGGACTTGTTTAAGATCCCTGCATTGCCCAGAAGAGCTAAATTTATCAAAGTCAGTCATTGCCCAGTGTGGCTGTTACTGTGTACAGTGTTCTCCTGGTTTTGTTCATTTCACTCAGCATCAGTTCATATAAGTCTTTCCAGGTTTTTAAACAACATATTGTTAGATTATGTTTTTCAATCCACTCTGCTATCTGCTTCCGTTTTATGGGACAGTTCATGCCAATCACATATACAGTTGTGATTACTATTGGTGTCTTTCTCTCCATCCTATTCTCCCTCCCCTTTATGCTTTTCTCTCTCCTTTCTCCCTTTCCCTCCTTACTAGAGTTTTGCTTTCTACCTTCACCCTCCCTTCGACCAGTCTGCCCTCCCTTCTATCAGTTCTCTCCCTTTTCTTCCCCTTTCCCCTTACTATTTCTTCTCTCCTTTCTATTCACTCCCTCCCTTTTCTTTCCCCTTTCTCCTCCTACTTCCTGTAGGATAAGTTAGATTTTTATACCTAACTGATTATGTTATTCCCTCTTTGAGCCAAATCTGATGAGAGTAAGGTTCAAACAATGCTCATCTCCCTCCCTTCTTTCTCTCTGCTGTAATAGGTTTTTGTGCCTTTTCATGTGATGTAATTTACCCTTGTGTTCACATACTATTTATTCTTTCTATCTTTGCCTGTTTGTTCTATGAATAATGCTATCCATAGATTAAAGGAAGAATGTTTAAAAAGCATCCTTAAGGACCTAACTTTGTAAAAGAATTTCTTCTATCGATATTCTCATAGAGAGACCTTATAGAAAAAAACCATGATTTAAAAACTTCTTGACAACTAATTAAAATAATTCTATATGTAAAAGCCTCCATCTAATGTGAGACCTTCTCAATAATTACTAAAACACATCCAAAGCCTGTGTATAAAGGCATTGGTATGAATAGGAATCTGTGGATATTTAAATGAACTTTAAAGAAGTTCAGTAATTTCCTGTTGCCTCTAGGATATAATTTAAAATACATCATTTAGGACCATCATCTTTACTTGGCCTTTTCCATTGTTTTTCATAGGCACAACAGCAGAAGTTCTAATACTACTAATATATTTATAGTTGTTGCAGGTCCAAGTACATTTGTTTACCCAATAGAAAACATTTGAAAGTCAATCATATATTTTTAGTTCTCAAATGGAAATATTTTAATCGTGTTGCTTTTCCCAAAGTGAAGTTTACTAAGCCATTAAAAATGAAAACTTTTACATAAAAATGAAAACTTTATCATATCACATCTTTATCCTATTCACCTTTTTATGACATGTTATCCTTACATCATTCAGAAAAGATTTGGTGCTATACACATCCAATCTTATATGTGAATATATGTCTATTAAACCAGTAAAGGAGATGGTATGTCTAAGAACTGATTTTCCCTAGTTACCTTGATGAGGAATTTGAAGTCATAAATTCAGAATAATAAAATCAAAGCAATAAGGTCCTTTACATTTGCACTATAACCTGCTAGTTCTGAGGCGCTTGATGATTATAACAATAAGATCCATTTTAAAGCATTTGTAAATCTTTTGCCATGGTTAAAAAATTTGCTGTGAAAGAGGAAGGACACAGTTGTAACAATATCCCTCAGCCTATGCCTAAAGTCACAGAGTAATATAGGTATGCCAGGTCAAAATTCCCTTAACTGTGTTTGATATTAGAGAAAAGTCGGATATCTTTTAGAACAGCCAATCACACAATAGAATTCCACATTGTTCACAGACTATTATAGCCAGGCTCAGACTCAACCAGGTGAGAAATATTCTTGTTTATAAAGGAAATAACACAGTGGAGAAACTGAATCAAGAAGATCCTGCCATTGCCTTCATAAATCTTTCTCAATTTTCCCAGTCATTCACATCCATTGGTAGTATTTTTTTCCCAAAAGGCACCGCCTTTGAGCAGCTCTTGGCATTTCCCTTGAATGCTAAATAGTTGTTTAACAATCAAACAGCTATGCCTTAATTCAAAACTCAGAGCAAATAAAATTACAGTTCTACTTTACATAGAAAGTTCCACTGCTTATAGATTATAGCAGGGTACAGTTGTCTTTCATGTCACAATAACAAAAAAAACCCAATAAATATACATTAAAAATTTTCACTATTTGTGAAATGCATGAAAAGTATTTCCCAAAGCATCCCATTATCATTTTACTAATCAATCAGTAAATATTAATAAAATAATATCATATAAAATGAATGATAGTTCACTTATAATCAAGAAAAACACTGACTTTTGTTAGCCTGGATATGTTAAGGTATTAACCCTAAGGCAAAAATATTCTAGGTACAATTTCATAATTTCCATAATCACTAGCCAGACAATTCATCATAGAAATCACTTCTATACTAAAAATGAACTTGTAAGATAAATTGCCCCCTCACTTTGACTATGAGTATTTGTGTTGGAGGAGGGGATCTCAGTTCCTTGGTAAACCAGTTTACTGTTTTAGAATTTATAAGGCTTTCACTAGTCACATACATTCTTGTAAAAAAGAACTGATAAAATTTTTGAACTTGCCAAGGCTGAAGATTCAAAAGTACTAAAAATCTGGTGAATACCTAAAGAATTTTGTAGATAATAAGAATTTACAAGATCTTTTGTACTTTTCTTAAACACTAGTATTTATTCTCCTCCTCCTCCTCCTCCTCCTCCTCATCATCATCAATTTTAAAGCAAAGTATACCCAAGAAAATACTTCAAACAGTTTTTTAACCATAATGAAAAAATTATGTGATAGCTCAAATTCATAATTTCACAGCATTCAGATCAAAAGAGGAGTTTATTTTCTGATAATGTAATTGCATCATTCTACAGGTATCATTTTTCACTTTTTATAAAAATTTTAATTAATTTATTTTGAAGTATCAACAATCACTTCCATAAGCTTTTGAGTTGTAAATTTTTCTCCCTCTCCCTCTCCACCTCCCTTCCCACAATGGTGCGCAATCTGATATAGGCTATACATATATATTCCTCTTAGACGTATTTTCCCATTAGTGATGTTGTAAGTAAGAATTAGAACCAATAGGAGGAACCACCAGAAAGAGATTTTTCACTTTCTTTCACTCCTTTCTCAATCTCACACCTCTTTATTCCCCAATCCAATACTGACCCTGTCAACAGAACTAGTTTTCTTCACTGAATCTTTCCTTTTCAAATTAGCACACATTTTCTTATACAATACCAATTAATTATAAAATTTTTACTTTTCTCTGATCAAAATGGAAACTAATGTGAGTTTGGGGAAAACATTTCCCCAGAAAAGTAACATCAGAGGTCAAAGAAACAGTTACAAATTGTTGTTTTTATTCAACAAGATAAGCCCACTGATTCTCTCTTGAAGGAGACTCCACTATCTTAAGACACCTGTCATCCTCAACTTTTCACTTTCACCTCCCCATCTCCATTCCCTTGCCAAACTTGACAATTTTACCTTTGAAACACCTCTAGAATATGCCCATTTGTCTCCTTTGTCACTTCCACCAACCTGGTGAAGGTCCTTATCACCTCAAACCTAGCCTATTGCAATAGCTTCTTGGTTAGTCTGTCTGCTTTAAATCTCTCTCCACTCCAGTCTGTCCTCCACTCCACTCTCATAGGGATCTTCTTAAAGTACAATTTTGACCATGTTGTGCCACCCCCCAAACTTAATAACCTCTAGAAGTTTCCTGTCACCTCCGGGATCAAATATAAAATCCTCTATTTGACATTCAAAACCTTTCATAACATGTCCCCCTACCTTTCCAGTTATCCTTACACTCCTCTCTTCCTCTTCACGTACTCTGTAATCCAGTGACCCTGGTCTCTTTGCTGTTCCTCCCTCAAGATGCTTCATTTCCCAAATCTGTGCATTTTCAGTGGCTGTCTGCCATGCCTGCAATATTCTTCTTCCTCACCTCTGACTTTTGGTTTCCCTGAATCTTTTCAAGTCTCAGCTGAAATCTCACATTTTGAAAGATGCCTTCTTTCCCAGTCCCTGTTAATGCTAATGCTTTCCCTGTAAAGTTACTTACCCTATATTTAACTCACATGTATATAGTTGTTTGTATGTTATCCCTCTCTTTAGAATGTGATCTCCTTGAGAGCAAAGACTATTTTTATCTTTGTTTGGTGCATAGCACAATGCCTGATGCTCAATAAAAAACTTGTTGACTTGTTGATCTGTTTTTGGGATTTAAGTAGCTGTTTAGTCAAATGACCACTCTTTAGATTGTTTAGAGAAATACTGGTAATCATTAACTGACCTTGAAGAAGTTCTTTATCTTTTTTTTCAACTTTGCTATGATGAATATAGCTAAGCATACAGATAATATAAATATTTATATTTAAATTTATATACAAATTATATGTACATTAAAATAGTTTTAATTATATATATGAAAGAAAATATGTATGCATAAAGGTTATCCAAATAATCATTTATATATATCACTCTAAGAAAATTTTCATTTTTAATTTTTTTTTGTTGTCTTAGGCATGTACTAGTAATGAAAATATATGCATTTGTGAATTAGACTTTCACCCCCCAACATGTGCTGTAAGGAAAAGTAGAATCATTCAGGATCTTTTACAGTGGACAAGAGGTTAGTATCCATAATGGAGCCTATAAACAAATGAGCAGAGGCATGGCATAGAATTAAGTGAACTTTATTAGCATCAGGAAAGGAATATAGGGCACTCATACTCTCATGTAGTAGAAAGGAAAAAAAAAGTACATAGTCGATTATTCAAGGGAAAGATACCTATGAATCTTCCTGGTTGGGGCTGGGATCAACTCCAGTGTACTTAACATAGCAGCACAGAATTGCTGATGATTGATAGATTCAGCAATGCCAGCGTGCAATAGAGCAGTTCAAGAAAAAATGAGAAAGGGGTATGGTGTTCTGATACAGGAAGCCCAGAGTCTTGGTATTTCCATGGAGCTTTGGATTCTGAGAGCTGAGCTTTCACCTTATCCTGCCTAGAACCCAGGCCACCAGTAACTTCCGGGACATTTCAAATTATTCCACATATGTCTTGGCCATCTTTCTCATCTGCCTCACATCTGATCTCGGACTCTGTCCCCTGGTATCTTGGGCTTTTATTTGGGAGACCTTTTTTTTCCTGGAACCAGGCCACCATATCACCTCCCACACATTATCAAACCATGCTATGGTTTGATACCACTTACTGCTCTCTTTCCACCCTCCTCCAATGCTGCTTTCCAGCTTCCCTTTATGTGTTTTCTTCACTCAGATTGCTAGCTCTTGATGATAGAGACTGTTTTTCTTGCTTGTGTTTGCATCCCCAGGTGTTTGTATAGTGCCTGTCCCATTATATGCTTTTTCATTCATCCATCTACCCATCTGTCCATCTATCATACATCCATTCATCTATCCATCTATGTATCCATTCATACCTCTTCTCTGAGTTTCATGTTGCCCTTTGGGTCAGTTATTTTAATGACGCACTCAGAGGGTTTCTTTCATATTCAGTGATATAATGCTAGATTTGGAGTTAGGAAAACCTGGGTTTAAATCACACCTCAGTTTCTTACTAGCTGTGTGGGACTTGTCAAGTTACTTCCCCTTTCTGGGCCTCATTTTCCTCATCTGTAAAATGAGTATAATAGCACCCACCTTATAGTGTTGTGAAATAATAAAAATTAAATGCTTTGCAAAATATAGCTGCATTTTGGTGTGAGATATTATTATAGGTAATGATAAGACAAGTTACCCTTAGATTCAGCCACGTGATTACATGTGTAACTGAGGTCTTTTTTTTTTCTGAGTGTATTACTCTAACAGAGCTTTGGTCACTGATAATATTGCCATCAACCATTAAGTGTGGGGGAATCCTTCCAATTGCCTATAAAGGACTGGTATAGGAAGTTCCATAGTTATATGGGATGGTACTGCATGTAGCACAGCAGGAACACCCTATTCCCGTAGTGATGATTCCGATTCTTCTGGGAAAGCTGTGCTGCCATCTTCACCTGCTAGTGCTAGGCAGAACAAGAAATGATCCTGGCATTTTTGGGTCATGTGAGTTGGTGGGTTACACTCAAATATATTCCAAAGAACCAAGCATAAGTGGCATTTGTTACAGATAAATTAAGGGGAATCATTATTTATTGGGAAGTTTCTATGATGGAAGAACATAGCATCCTCCTGGTAACCTGTGTTTTAAGGCAGGACTTTTATTGGTATTCACTGTGGTCCAGCGTCATGACCAGTTCATTATAGTGTGTTGTGATCTCTGAGATAGTCAGCTAAAGTAACTAGCCAGCTAGATATAACAGCATTTGTGAGGCCCTTGTTGTGTGCCAGGCCTGGTGCTAAGCACTGGGGATACAAGGACAAGTGAAAAGAACCATTCTTACTCTCAAGGAGCTTGCATTCTACTGGAATAGAAGAATTTATTAAAGGAAGCTGAAGAGCAGTGCATGCAGATGGGAAGGAGAGAGCAAGGAGCTGCCAATGGGAACAGGAGGCCAGCCACAGGGACAGAGGGATCTCCAGGGTAGGAGGGCAGTGTCTGGAGAAGAGAGCCAGGAGTAGAGCTAGGAGAAGAGTGAGTCTTCAAACCTCCCCATTCCACCCCCTCTACCCCCCATCCCACTTCCCTGAACATATATGAAATGCTTTGCAAACTTTAAGACACTATGTAAATAGAAACTACTATTATTATTAATAATAACGAATACAAAGTAAGACTGGAGACCTTTCCTGGGAGGAGTTCAATCAGTGAAGCTCCCCAATGTAGATTTGTGGCAATTACATTCTTGCTTCAGTCAGATCCAATGGATATATCCCCAGAATACCATGATATCTGTATGTCCCTTGTAACAAATGCTCCTAATCAAGTAAAACAGATTTTCACCTTAACTGTATCTCAAAATATTTACCTATACACTTCATTCTATGCTTTGGATACAATATCTCTATCAGGAGGTATATAGCAAGGTTCGTCACTGGTCTTCTGGAATAGTTGTGGGACACTGCATTTATAACATACTACTTTGGTCCCCCCAGTCAGAAGGTCAAGCATGTTACTCCTCAGCCAGGGTTCTTAGATTTTTAGGCATATACTCTGTGTCATATTAAAGCAAGGTCCACTTATTCCTATGTGTTTCAGTATTTTTTTTAACAGAAAAGAGTTTTATATTTTGTTAGAAAAATTTCAGCATCTACTGAAATTATGATGCAGTTATTTGTTATTATTAGTTAATAATCTGGTCTATTAAGCTTATAGTTTTTGTAAATGGATAAAACTATGTATTCTTGGCATAAATCCAACATAGTCATAGAATATAACTTTTTAAAAATGTTAGGTACTTTATTAATATTTTAATTAATTTTTTTGTGTTGATGGTCAGAAATAGTCATTGGAGTTTTCTTTTTCCACTTTGGCTCTCCCTGGGTTAGGTATTAGGCTCATATTTGTGTCATCAGAAGTGTTTAAAAGGATCCCTTCTTTTCCTTTATTTATTAATAGATTATGTAAATTAGAATTATTCTTTTAGAGTAATAGAATTCACTTGTGAAACCATCTGTTTGGGAATTCATTTATGTTTTGTTCAGTTTTCTTTTTCTGATACTGAGTTATTTGAATATTCTTTTTTTTGGTAATCTGGATATTGTATATTTTTGCAAATATGTATACATTTCATTTGTTATCAGTTTTATTGTTATTACATTAAGCAATATAGTTTTTGATAAATTCCTTTATTTCATCTTCAGTTTTGAATTCTCACTTTTCATTTTTGTGACTATTTTATTTTTTTGTGCTTAATCCAAAGTTTTTTTTTCTATTTTGTTAAAATTTTCTTTAATTTTCCAAATTTCTAATTTAGTGTTTGGTATTTAAATTATTTTTTGTCTAGCTATATTCTTTTAGTTACATTCTCAGTTCTTTAATCAGTTTTTTTTCTCTTGTGTTCATGAAAGCATTTCGATGTGTAAAATTTCTCCTGACTGCTTTGAAATGCTATCTCATCATTGTCATTTTTTCTGAAGAAGTTTTCTACCATTGCTATGATTTATTCTTTGATCTATCAATTCTTTAAGAATAAATTATTTGGTCTTCAATTATTTTGACCTTTTCTTCAAAGGCTCTTTATCAACTATAATTTTACTTGCATTGTGCTTTGAAAAGGCTTTTTTAAATATTTCTGCTTCACTTTTTTTTTTCCTGAGGATTTTGTGTCTTAATACAGAGCAATTTTTTTGTATAGGTGCTATACACAGCTGAGAAATGTTTATTGCTCTTTTCAATTCCCATTCAGTAATTGTGAGATATTTTTCATATCTAACTTTTCTAAAATGCTATTCCCGTCTTTAACTTCTTTCTTATCTTTCTGTTATATTTTTCTAGTATCCTTTCTATCTGAAAGGTTACATTGGGGTACTCCACTATTATAGTTTTACTCTTTCTCTCTGCAATCTGATTAACTTTTCCTCTAAGTATTTAGATGCTGTGCCATTTAGCACACATATACTAAGAATTGATACTGGTTCATTTTCTGTGATGATTTTTTTCCTTTCTTTGCATTTTCAGGGCTTAGCAAAATGCCTGGCACATAATAAGCACTGAATAAATGTTTGTCGACTGACTTGTTGGCTGTTGCTTTTAAATCTAATGTCTATATTTATTGTAGCCTTACTTGGAAAAAATAAACTAACTATTCCATGCAACTGGTTTTTATTTCATAGTTAAAAGCAGAAAGCCCAATTTATATTACTCTGAATTTCTTGCTGTTCCTTTTTTTATTCTTAGGTTCTTTCAATGGCAGAGCTACAGAGTATCCTAGGAAGAACTGGCTGCTTATAAGTTTCTACATTTCTCTACCTATTCTTTTCATTATAGCCATAATAACTGTCAAATGGAAATCTGTGAAAGAATGCTTATCTCCAGAGGAATCACCAATTACTGAGTAAATTGAATTTGTGTATTTTTATGCATCAGGTGTAAATGCATCTCAGTTGTTCACTGGGTGTAAATAAGACCTATAGCACTGAATCAATCACTTGTTTATAGCCTTGAGCTATGGGAAAGGTCCTTGATCAATTTAGGTATCTTTGAAAACCAGTGGGTGAAGTGTTGCAAAGGAAGTCTGCTTGAATTAGTTAAAGAGCTTGGTTATATCTTGTAGGGTATGGTTATAAAACCACTGGTGCTGGTATGAAATTTCAGATATTGTAACCAGAAAAGATTGTACAAAATACAATATATAAAAATCCCACATACTATTTTTAGAAATAGCTAATTAGAATAGTGAATTTGAGTGTCTGAAAGTTTAATAGTAAAAACCTATCTTGAGCTCCAGAGAAAAAAATGCTCATGAAAGGAGGAGGGCACCTCAGCCTCACAAATAGTAAAATACATTACATTTTAATGAGCATAAAATGACTAGTTATTGATGTGAAAGTCATTTCTAAATTAGTATTCAGCATAAAATTGGATCATTGATTTGTAAGAATGAAGATTTTAGGTTCAGTAGAAACTAGAAGAAAGAATAAAAATGAGAAGCTATATGGAGTGCAATTGAGGCAACTTCAAATTGATCCACTTAAATAAGGTGTTGATACTGAGAAATGAGAAAAGTATAAAAAACAGATATAAACACATTTTTCCTGGGGAAGTTTACCTGACATAAATCAGTTGTCATAATGAAGAGACTAAAGGAGGCTAGAAATGGCTTCATCCATCAGTGAATCTCCTCATCAGGTCAGAAGTATGTCAGAAGAAGGCAACAGGATTTAAAATGTAAACTCATTTGTAAAATATTAAATGGAGTAGAGAGTGAGCAACATCACCTCATAAAACAATAGTAGTGGAGAGAAAATCATATTTTCAGAAAGCTTTTTGAGCAACTTAACTAAGCCAAATCATCCTAAAGATAAAAAAGTATAAATTGGAAAGAGGACAATACATGGAAGAAAAATAGAAGTTTGTAAGAATTTCCATAATAAAGTCTTCTCTCCCTTAATTTCAATAGATTCACCATATTCACACTCTTAAAATTATTGTTCTTAGCTTGCTGTATGAGGAAATCGAAGTGGCACTAAAGAAAGATGTAAATGATAGCTAGACTGGGTCAAGAATACACAGAGGATCCAGACTAGATCACAACTCAGTTTTGAAGTTATTGAAAGATTGATTCTCAATGTACCTGAAAAAAGGGAGAATAACAAAGACTTGGGAAAACCTCAAATATTGTTACCACAAAAATGACCAAAAATATCAGTAACTACTAATCATTATTCCTATGTCTACAAAATATTTTTGTGAACGGTGAAATTTATGAACATTTTAATTTTTGAAGTATTTAGGTATGAGGTGTCAACAGTAAAGATTTTAAAAATTACATTCTACAGAACACCATTTTGATGGTTACAAAATTGAAATTTATAGATCTCAATGTATATATTTTGGGGGACTATAAAAAGGCATTTTATTTCATAGAGCAAAATGCTAACTTAAAGGCTGTCTTCCATTAGTGTGTTTTCCATGAAGATCACACAATCATAATATTGCCTTGAAAGATATTATTATTGCAACAACTTAGATAATCCTCTGAATATAATCTTAATGTTAAATAAGGCACAAAACAGAAATATGCTTAGTAAATACGTTTGCTATTATCATGTACACTATTGTCCAAATTAAAGGATTCCTTACAAACAGTGAGGTCTTTCAGATGCTTCTATTTGCAGATAACATTGTGCTGATTACATCAAATGGTAGAATTTTATAGTGCTTCCTAAAAGAATTTTGATGGTTCAAAAGAATTCAGACTAAGTAGCTAATTTGAAAATCCAAGTGAATGAAGAATAGGTATTATCCAGACTATGATATGCTGTTAGATAGACAACTCATAGCACCTATATCTTGGACAGACATTTTTGAGGGATGATCCAAGCCCTGAGTCGTGCAAGAGAAGGGAAGTTGCCTGGATTAATTTTGGAAAACTGTACAGTGCAATAGGAGGCAGTGTTTCATAGTGGATAGAATGGTAGACTTGGAGTAATGAAGACTTGGGCTAAAATCTCTTCTCAGACACTTAGTAGTTGTATGACCCTGGTCAAGTCACAGCCTTTCTCAGCCTCAGTTTTCTCATCTATAAAATGAGGATAAAAATAGCACTTACCTCATAGGCTCATGAGGATCAAATGAGATGATGTATGTAAAACACTTTACAAATTTCAAAAGCACTATATAAACGTTAGCTATTCTCCCTGAAACAAAGGCCCATTATTTCAATATCAATATTCTTTCGATGATGTGTGGTTGTGAGTAATGTTAAATATTATAGTGTCCAAATATCATCCAAAGAAAAGTGCAGGATGAGAAGGCTGCAGAATTACATTGAAGATGTGGCATAAAGGATGCAATCAGAGAAGTGTATGGATGGAAAAGAAGACAGAAATCAGTCATGTAGCAAGAGCAAAGGATAAGTGATGAACAGACAGCCTGTGTGCTCCATTAGTATCCAAGAAATATCAGGAGAGTTAAATGGGAAACTTCAAAAGGTTGGGTGGACAACCCGATGAGACATCATGGGAGGATGTAGACAAAAGTTGCAAGAATGAGGAAGCATGGATAGGTTGCAATTTGCGTTTTTGTAGGCAGTACTCACAATGATGAAAACACAAACATTAAAGTATTAAAGAAGTTGGTATTTTAAAAATGAGATACTTTTAGATGGCCAATGAATCATTATATGGAGGAGCAAAATTATATCAATATTGACATTCTAACTCTAAATGTAACCAAAAGAAATAAGAAAGCTGGGGATAAATAGAAGGATGGATCATTGGTTATTTTTGTGCAGGCAAATAAAGAAGTTTGATGGGGTTGATTTCATTGTGTACCCAAAGGAAACAAGAACCTTGATTTCATGGTACATTTGGTCATCTTGATTCACACTACTCTTGAAAAGCATAATCAAAAAGACCACAATAAAGTTGATTATTGTAGCTTATGTACCATTATTTTGCAGAGAATGAAGAAACAGAGAAATTCTATGAAGAACTTGACACTATTTTATAAACCATGTCACTAATGGAACTTAGTGACTTCCATTAAATAATAGAGAACAATGATGGAAAAATATATTTGAAAGGGGAATGGCTAAGTGAATTGGGGTATATGAGTATAATAAAATATTATTGAATGTGAATATGAATATGAAGAATTCAGAGAAATTTGAGAAGAACCAAGTTTCATTTCACCATTAGCATGAACTCTAATACAGAGTAAGGTGAAAAGACACAAGAGAATAATACATAAAATGGTCACAGTGATGTAAAAGAAAATAGAACTAACACCAGTTTTGTGAATCATATCCAGGTAAAGATGATGAGAATGAATACAGGTCATCTACCAACTAAAGAGGGATAAATTTCATTAAAGTAAACCATGAACAATTTTTAGGTATTTAAAACCAGTTTAGCTGAGGTACTTTCTTATACACTGAATCTGTGAATGTTAAAGGAACCACTCACTCTTTAGGTGCTAAAAATATATAAAATCCTGTGATAGTCATATACTCTTCCTGGTATGTCATTAGCAACATTTATGGCCTTCACTTCTGAGTAAGCCCTGTGCAACCACTTCTAAAGACTCAGGAAGGTGGCCAGGGAAGAAACAGTGACCTGACTCCTCCAATCCTGATTTGCCACACAAGTACACTTTCTGATAGAGGGAGAAAGTTGTTTGTAAGTTGAATTTGTAACAGTGTGTTTTAAATAAAAGCAGAGTTAGGTACTTGTGGAAACTGATCTTCCAATGAAAATATTCTTTGATATTATATTGCCTTGGCATAATTGCTAATTTAAAACAATATTTTTATTTTTACATAGATCTGGATCAGAATTCAGTACATATTCATATAGCAGTAGCAGGTAAGTACATATATGAAGTTTATCATATTTTTAAAAAATTATAAAATTCCTTGTTACATGCCATCATTCACTGATGTTCCCACCCTGACTAGATGAGTATGTTCTCTCCCTACTCAAATTTAAATAGAGCACTTTGTCCTTTGCCCTACATTATATTATACTTTTCCATATATGGTTTTATCCATCCCAGCAGAATATAAATTCCTTGAGAATAAGAACTTTTATCTATTTTTCTTTTTTAGTCCCACTGCCTAGTGCATGATAGTCATTAAATTTATTGAACTGAATTTAAAATTCACAAATATCTAAGTTTGGAAAAGTTGATTAAGCTTTAGATGTTTCTAAAGGAACAAGGAATCATCTCCAGTATGACACTGAATTGTGCTGGCTACATTACTTATCTAGCAGTTCATAGTATTCACAGTGGAAAGCTGGCTGCTACTAATGTTGAGTGTTACCCTTTGTTTTACAGTGAACATAGTACCTAAGATGCCAAAAGCAAAGGTCTGGAGAAGAGAAATTACAATTTACTGCATCAGAAGTCAGACTAATAGAACAAAGGAAAAGTTTTCCATTCCTCCGACACTCCCCCTTTCCCTTGACAATCCGTGGTTTGCCCCTTTTGAAGATATTCATTATAGTAAACTGAATTTTTGGAACCATTATGAATTCTATCTGACATTCTTCCTTTTCCATGGCAATTTGATATGTCCTAATTATCATGTTGGGCAGGGATTGAATAGAAATGAGAAGATAGGTTGATATTACATACTGCGTCCTAAGTATTCATTGATCATAATTATAAGACTCATAGTCTAGATTTACAGGGGTGGGGGACCTGCAGCCTTGGGTGTGTCCTTTTGAGTGAGTCCAAGTTTTACAGAAAAAAAATCCTTTTATTAAGGGGATTTGTTCTATGGGGTTTGGATTCAAAGGGCTGCATTTGAGGACCATGAGGGCCACAGGTGGCCTTGAGGCCGCAGGTTCCCCATCCTGGTCTAGAAGCTTTCTAATGATATAATGGCCTAGGT